GTCTATTGTGCTTCCCCTTTTGATTATCCCCTCAGTAATCCCGCACTTCATTCGAAGCGCAAGAATTTTGTACGTGGGGGCGTCGAAATAGTCACTTGGTTCCATAAAATATTGACCCAAGTGACCTAATCTTAAATAAGCTAAGGCCTCACATTCACACAGGATATGTGTGGCTGTTTCATTTTCTTCTTGACACCTCTCACAATTGGGACTGTCACTTAGTCCCAGTTTGAACAGGTGTCCTTTGAGGTGACAAGTCCTGTAAGTAGTCCCACCACCCATCGTAGCTTCAACAGTTCCTTCGCTCTTTTAGCAGAGGGTCCTCGTATGAGTCCCTTTGCTTGCCTGAATCCAGTCAAGGATCCCCAGTATTTCTTGTGCTTTATGTTTGTCCAGTCCCTGATTGCCTGTCTGGCAACTCCTATAGAGATGCCACAGGCTGATTCAGGTCCTATGAACGGATGTTCAGCTCCAATCATAGCCAACTGATCTGCTGTTTCGTTTCCAGCAATAACCTCATGCCCCGGCACCCATATCGGTTGTACCCTGTAATAGGCATGAAGGTTACAATCCTTTCCGAGGAACGCGCAACTCCATCTTCCGAGGTCTCTCCGAAACGCTGTTAAATACCTAACAGACCACAAGGTGTTATAGCACTACAAAAAAAAAAAAACACTCCATGATTTTAGTTCGCAAGCGAGCTATACCGACAGAGCGACCGCCGCTTGTCGGCGAAGTTTAGTGTCAACTTTTGCGGATAGAGGGTGTCGCGTGGTCAGCGCAACGAATCGCCACTGCTGTTAATTTCGGTGTTCTAGACCGGAGCCGCTATTTCCTTGAAACAGCTCCTGAATTATCATCACGAGGCTGAGTTGACCCCATTCCAGACCCAATACTTCTCAGAAAAAATCTGGTACCTTCGGGAATCGTACCCGGACCTCTGGATCTGTAGCCAGCAACGCTGACCACTATACCACAGAGGCGGTTTATAGCACTACAAAACCACATCTAAATTTTAAGAATGTGTTTTAGAAGCAGCGCATACAAAGTTTAAAATCTGGTACGAACCTGAGTAACTTGGAAGTTTGGAAAGCGTTACAACAGTTCTTAAGAAAGAAAAAACAACGATTCATTGCTGGGTTACTCATAATGTTTTCTTGATTGGTAGTTGGGGGCTTGATATGACGCAAAGGAAATGCCCACAAAACTCCTTACAAACTTTAAGATATAATAAACCTTCTAAGGAATATTTTCACTACGAACTTATAAATTTCCCGACACACTAGTAACCGATCTCCAGTGTACACATTTCATACGTCCCATATAGAACACATGACAAGGAAACGGAAATGTGGTTTTCCTTTGACACAGAATGCTGTGTTCATGAAGACTGCAGAATTCCCATGTCAATATATGCACTTTATTTATGAAGATTATCTGCCAACTATAAGAGGAAATAGGGGCTTCTTTCGAGACCAATTTTACCTCGCTGTATCCTTTGCTATGGAAATTTCTTTTTATAAATTCCGAGACCATTACGAGCATTCGTAATTTCAAAACAAACGTCGCGATTATGACCGAGCCATAGCTCAAGCGGTTAGTCGCTGGCTTCCCAACGCGGTAGCCCGGGTTCGATCCCGGATCTGGTCAAGTGGGATTTGTGGTGGACAAAGTGGCGTTAGGGCAGGTTTTTTCCGAGTACTTCGGTGTCCCCTGCCAATCTTCATTCCACCAATTGCTCCACAATCACCCTCACCTATCATCTGGGGCTGGTACAATAGGCCAGTAGTGGCTGCAGTACAGTGGACTTAGTCCCACCCCACTAGTAATAAAAAAATGGTCGCGATTCGGTAGCACCCTTTCCTCCTTCGTATTCGGAAGGTCTCGTGCTCGTATCTCAGGTATTCTGACCAAGCTGTACGTGGCGTTTCCTCAGTTCCTACAAAAAATGACATCATGCGTCTTAAATGGGCCAAGTACTCTTCGTTCGGCACCATTTAAAATGCATTATTTAATAGAAATTTGACGTTATAGAAAATGAACAAATGAAACCAAACCAAAAATAAATTTAGAATTTGTACCTCACGGAGACAACTTTAATGATGAAGAAAGCAGTCTTCTGGGATTTGGCATCGTGTATATGTGGTGTTAACCGACGTTTCGGAGGAACGTATCGCCTCCATCTTCAGGATAGAAGAAAAAATATATAAGAAATCTGCAAGCAAAGAGACCGTGAGAACCGGTNCTATGATCTTGAGAACTAAGGAAGAATATGCACCTACAGCAATACAATTCTGCACACATGTAGTAGAACGTTAAATATATACTGAATTCTCTTACCCGGATATATTTGCAAATACATTTCCATGTTTCTTTTACGGCCATTTGAAAACGGTGAAGAGTTTTATCTTCTGTATAATGTTGTATTGTTCGTTGGAAGTCAACCGACGTTTCGAATAAACATGCTTGCTTGCTTCCTGCTTCGCGTTGGTTTATTCTTCTACCGAAAGATAGAAGCAACATATTCGTCTGAAACGTCGGTTGACTTTCAACGGAGTATACGATGTCATATCTTAGAAGATAGAACTCTTCATAACTACCGCTGTGAGAGGCTCAGAGCTAGTATCTGAAAAGGTTCTTCCAGAAATATAATTATTAAAATTATTCCTACAACTAAGCCACTGTAAAGAAAACGCCAACATGTGCATAGAGCATCCAACTACGTTGGTTCCAAATTTCGTACTGGAGAATGTTAGTTCTGTGATGGCTCAGAAAAAATTCATCTAAAGTCAATAAAAGTAACTTTGTAAAGGTGTGATTTTCAACGTTCCTGTATGTATGTTGGATATGGAGTCTTCCTGGTTGTAACGTCGTACAGTTTGGAGACAACCGGGCGTTTCGGAGGAATATAGCGCCTCCATTTCATCGTAGAAGAGTAAGCTAAGGAAGGAATTAGAGGAAGCAGGCGGCAAGCTCAGCCGTTCCTCCGAAACGTTGGTCTTTCCCCGATCTACATGTTTTTACAACCCAGAAAACCGCACTCCCCTTAAGCGTAACATTGCATGAGCATCTAAAGGCATTCTTTTCTTGAAGAATATTTTCTTCTGAAAAGTGACGCCTTATTTTTTTTTCCCCTTCGCACCACAGCTCCAGTGGGCCTAGGCCTACCTCCATGAACTTCTCCGTTCACTTCGGTTTTTCTAGATCTTACACATTCGGTAGGACTCCTTGGGCGGGTGATCAGCTCGTCGCAAGGCCTGTACCAGTACACAAACACAGAAAAACGCACACACACAAACAAAACATCCATGTCCTGAGTGGTATTCTAACGCACGATCCCGGTTTCCAAGCGAGAGAAGACAGTACATGCCTTAGACCGCTCGGCTACCGTGACCGGCAGTGACGCCTTATAGTCTGGTAGAATTTTACCGACATTCGGAGAAATGTAGTGCCTCCAAAATATAGGTAAACGTCTATCAGACTATGAGGCGTCATATTAAAATGACAGTATTCTTCATAGTTACCGCCTCAAATTTCACTCGTTTCTTATTGTCCTAAAATGTGATGTTTCGTCATTTAGGCCTCTTTTTCATAACGTCCGAGTTCTGTACATGTCTATTGTCGAGTGACAAGATCCTAAGGAACGGGGCAGTGGAAATGTTGTATAGAAATAATAAACGCCAATTCTAAACTATTTTTCCAGTGTTTATTTTTAAAAGTATAAGGAGAATTGGGGGTGTACAGCTCGAGATGGAACCACTGACCTCCGTATTACGAGGAACTTCTTGCCACCAGCGCGAAAAAAAGTTTAATTCCTTAATAAGAGTTAATATCCTTTACATAAAACTGCGTTTTCAAGTAGAGGATACAGCTTCTAAGATGGTAATTCAGCTCTCGGATATTTACACCTTGTGGAGAGAGAGGCAGCATACATCTCCGAAACGTCGGCAATACTGACCATACTAACACCGTGTAAATACGCAACAGTTGACTTAACGTAGTCAGTTAAGGTCCGTGAGAGCCTAAGGGCGACCGCACACCAACTGCGTCAAGACAAGCATCAAAACATAAGACAAAAGACGCAGTCTTGCTTCATTCGTGATTCATCAGCATGAAATCGACGTCAGCATCATGACTCAGACCGGTGTGCGGCGGTTTTCATAATCTCATTCGTGGGGCCTACCTAATGGTATCATATACCAATTCCTCTCTGATGAGGAAAGCACAGAATTACACACCAAGTGTGTACGAGTATTTTGTACTAAAATAGTAACTTTTCTTGATTTTAAAACGAACACTTCACGCAGAATTTAGAACCGTTCTCAATTAATCTACCTGTACAGAGCTTTGCTTTTGTTTTACTTTTTCGTAATTGTGAATACCGCGTCTCGAAAATATTTACATGTAATTATATTGCATAATTATGACTTTTCACTAATTCAGCCTATTCTATCCTTTTGTTAGCCCAAATTAGTGAGAATCTCTTTTATTTTTAGGTAAATTATGAAACGCCATACCCTTTGTCCGATGAGGTAACACAGCACAAAGTCTATGACGTTACTGGAAGTTATAATGCTATTCCCTTTCCTACCTTACTATCGGTTTTTGTAATAACGTACACATGGATGGGTTACGTATATGCACTCCATATAATTAAAGTGAGGTTCTTCTTTTATAAAACCACAAGGTTCATTTAAATCTAATATAAAGCCAAATTTAATTTCAGCGGATCCTAATTTCATCAACACTGATGGGATCTCTCATTATTAGTCAACAACTACACACTCAAGGATGTTCAACATAGTCTATTTTAATCGATATCTCGAAAGAAATATTGACTTCTCGAGAAGAATGATTGACAAGAAGACGCGAAGAGAAATAATGTTTCCTGGTATGCGTTTTAATAAGACATAAGTTCGTTTTAGCCTAAACCATATCTACCGAAGTAATTAATTAGACACAAAAATACTAGATCTCTAATTTGAGCTGCCTTCGATTAATCAGTATCGTTTACTCATGGATTCAACCACAGAATATTCAATATGGACGACCATCTGTAATACAGAAACATGTCATTAATTAAATAACTGCAGGCAGACCATGAATGAGTAACTACAGTCTGCATCATGAACTAACACACAGCATGTCTTTGTTTTTTTCCTGGGAAGCATCACGTTTCAACACTTCTACGTTTACTTCTACAATAAACGTGTGAATATGTGAATTCTTGCATATATTTCCTAACTACTACTATAATTATTTCTTCTTCTACCTTCATCTGTATCTCATCAAGCCGGCTTTCATGAAAAGCAGATGTTTCTTATCGTATCTTTCAATTTCTCGCCTTCTATGGAACCCGAAGTTCATACCCGTATTCATAAGATGGTGCCACTGAACCCTACCCTGAATAACACGCTGTGTTCGAAGTAGCGACAATCCAGGCTCTCGTTAACGGGGTGTTCGGACTTAGTTTCTATTGGGTAATTTATTTCTTGTCAGAATACATTATCATAGTAACCTCCGACCTGTGGTTGAGAGAAGCTGAATAACTTTTCAGACCTGTCATTTTATTCAAAGTTCTCTTCAGTAATAAGTAAGTTGGCTTACCTCCTTTTGTAAGATGGAAAACACTGATTCTAGCAAGAAATATCGAAGTGTAGCGAGATACATGGATGCTGGCCCGGGAGCGGACAAGACCAGCAGGCCGCGTAGGAAAGTGCAATCTATTCGGAATAAGGAAGTCCTGCAGAACAGCCCTGACTATAAGGACATGGCTCAAGAAAAGGCAATGGATGATTTTCACCACAAAATCCAACATTACTTAGAGCAGTATGAGCCCATCAACCCTAAACAGGAACCCAATCTCCGATATATCAAGATCATGAATGAAGGTGAAACAATATCAGTTCGCCGTGTGGCAGGACAGCTTGAGGGTCGAATTCTGGCTTTCCTGTCAAACTTTAAACCTGCGCCAAAGACATTATATTTTTCTCGGCATGGAGAGAGTGAAAACAATGTATTGGGCCGAATTGGCGGTGACACAAATCTTTCGCCACGTGGGAGAA